ATGTGCTATCTGCTTTGGCTTTGACTACTTGGACTTCAGTGTGATTTTGCATTCTGGATTTCTGTGCTTCGTCCATATTCATGTTCCTTGCAATTCGATCAAGGCCATCACCCTTCCCAACAAGAACAACCGAAGAAAAAAAAAAAAACAAAAAAAAAACGCATGCAAATAAAAAGTTAAAAACGTTTGCCAAAAACTGCAACCTCCCTTTGAAGAAAAAAGGAAAAACGGAAATGGTTGTTCTGGTCCTGCCGGATGCTAGACAGGGCTGAAAAAAAAATGAAAAAAAAAAAAAAAAAAAAAAAGAGGTTTGCCAATCAGAAGTGTTTTCGGAAAGAGGCAAAAGAATTAAATGCTTACCATAGAGCCACAGCGCAGTGCCGGTCTTCCTTGCCCTGTGGACGTATGCGAAGGCATTCCCACATCTTGCACCGTGTTGTGGATGCATGAAGAAGATACGACATACATGCAGAAACACCTCCCTTCGTCTGACCCAATACCTGATAGAAACACCGCATTTCCTCTTTCTGGCTTGACAACCTCGGCTCCTCGCAAAGAAGATTTCGACTCAGACTCCAGCCTCCAGAGCTTTTCATCCCCGAAGAGGCACACTAGAAGAGAGGCATATTGCACTTCCCCTCAGGAGTTTGTAAACTGGCAATGACTCCAGAAGTTCAGAGATTCACACTAGAAATTTCTAGGGAGCTAATCCAGTCATCTGCGCTTTGCTCAGTCCAGCCTCAGCTGCATCCCATCCAAAGAAATCCGACGCGCTCAGCCTGTATGATGCCTGCACTGCAGCAGGCAACTACCATACTTCAGTGTTTCATCTCTTTCACTCCCTCCCCGCCTCCCCCCTTCCCTCTTCTCTCTTCTCCCTCCCTCTCTTCCTCTCTCCTTCTCTCCTCCCCCCCCTCCTTAACCTCCTGAGCTGCTCAATTCTTTCACCCCCTTCATCCCCATCTTGCAGATTGTTCCCGCAATTGTGGCAAGTTTTTGGGATGTCCACCCTTTCAGCAACTCAACTCCACACTTTTCACACTTCCTCTTGAAATTCTGAAAATTTGAGAATTTCTCGTTCAGCCACCGTATTTGGGAAATGAAAGAAAACATGTGGCACTGCAAGACGGCAGATTCGATGAACATAACTGATGTACACGTATGCGATTCCTCAAAATGCAAGTCCACACTGTCGACATCTGTGCATCAACGTTGCTTCCAGGAAGATCACCAATCACTAGCTTGAGACTCCCTGGACGCATGCCAACCAAATAATGTGAAGTTTTTGCGAACCGTTCCTGTATTATCAAAGTACCCTTCATGGAGCATGAAGGCTTCTCCTTTTCCTTGGTGATGCGTGCCAATTCTTCAGCATCCCATTGGTCCATGCACTTTTTGGCATAGATCCTTCTCACACGTGTGCCTGCTTAGGTCATAGCTGCTGACGACTGCCCAAATTTCGGTTAGGCCATAGCTGCTGATGACCGCCCAACTTTCGGTGTCAAACCACCAGTACATCCGAGCCTCTCTTTTTGCCGACGTGGATTTCCCATGCGTGCCAAGCTTTGCCGAGACGCCAACGCGGTGCTTTCTCTTTTATTTTGGCTGGTGCCGCCCAGCCATTTTGATATGGTTGTTCCGAGCCTCCGAACGTTTTGAAAATGAGCCGATTTCGAGTAACTTCACTAGAATTCCCCCACAACATTAGATAAGCTGTGAGGCTGTGACATGATTATTCCTTCCCATAAATAAATGATATATAGAATTACAACAAGATCATTTGATCACACACAGCAGCGGCCCATCCGTCGCCTGCCTCATATTCTTCCACAATACTCTTTCAGTGACGATGGGCGCTGCTCATCGAACGTGCACATGAGCTAGAAGTGCTCTGGAGTGATAGACTACCTGGTTCATCATCCCGTCTGAAAACTGCGTTCGTGAAAGCCCTTTTCCTCCTTTTTCTATCACGAGCTTAGCCCTTGTATGCTCCCACAAGGATATATGTTGACATGGCAAAAAAAACCACCTTGCCGTTCTTGCGGCGATGGCGGGGGCTGCCCATTTAGCCCCTGACAAAGTGTGCTTGAGCTGCAAGCGCTCAGATTTATCCACTACGTGGCCACCCGATGTCGAAACTGTGTTGATAAAAACGTTTTTCGGAACCTTTTTCCTCCTCCTTTTTTTTTTTTTTTTTTTTTTTTTTTCTGGTGAAAAATATCACAAGCAAGCTTGCCTTTGTATGCCCCCACAACGGTGCATGGACATAGCGCAAAGAAACTTCCCTGACCTGATTGTATCTTACAGGTACCTATAGAAGGCCCTCGACGCTATCCATTCCTGAAGGAGGCTGTCTGCATTAGTTCTACAGACTTCGTGCCATTGGTACTGAGAATCTCGCAAGGCTTGGAGGATTGTGAAGCAGCCAGACTCCGCTAGAGAGAGTGACAGCCGATCACGTTTAAACATGCTAGGGTTTTGGCCAAGTCTTCTAAGGATGGGGATGGCAGCACAAGCTAGGCACGTGTTGTTGTTGTGCTGCTCTTGGGAAAGCTCAGTTGCTTGCGTCAACCACTTTCCAGCGATACTGGCAACATTAGCACCGAGTCCCTCACTGCGCCCACCGCGATCCATCATCATGGCGAGGATGATCTCAGAACCGCACATGTGAGCAGACACCATGTCTCGGTCCATTGGCAAGTGGCAGAGTGTTTCCACCAGCAGGCCTAGCCCGCCCTCGCCGGATCTCATGATCTCCCTCTCAGTTGGGAAGTCCTTGAATGCTTCCAGTGCGCGGATTATTGCACCTGTGACTGCTTGTCCCATCCCCCCTCCTTCATCCCACAAGTTATACGTCACAAGGAGCTGCCATATCACTTCCACGATATCCTCCTTGATGAGGCCTGCACGCTGATCAAGTTGCAGATTTCTGACCACTCTCAGGGCTTTCTCCACCACCATGGAGCTAACGCCTGTGCCTTGCCGTCCGTTACCCTCCCGCTCCGCTTTGTTGACGGCGGCAAAGCGCAGGAGCTTCGTCACGACAATACTCAGCTGCATGCTCATGGCAACACGCGAAAGATTATGCTTCTTGCTGAGCTCGTGGACCACATCCATAGCTTGCTCCACGTAGGTGTTCGATAGATCATCGGCTGCCCTGTCTAAGAGCCGCAGCATAGTGCACAGACCCTTGTTCTCAATAATGAGCGAGCCTCCCTCCAAATCCTTGGACATCTCCCTGAGAAGCCCAAACGCTCGCACTGCTTCGCCTGAGACTACGTCGACAGCCTGCGCCCTTGGGGATGAGCAGATGCTTGAGGGGGCGAAGGGGGCGAAGGGAGATTTGGAGGGGGACGATGTACGACCACTTGGCGGAATGACGCCCCCATACGGGGTCAATGGACTGCTTTGGCTGCTGCTAGAGAAGGAGGAGGAGAAGGAGCCCAGCTGCTCTGCCTGGGCTATGATTTCAATGAGCCGTCTTACCATCTCCGGTGACCCAATTTGTTGCCGGCAGAGAGGGCTTTGCCTAGCCAGGTTCAGCAACCCCTCAAGTGCGCGGAGTTTCAGCTCGCTGGCTACCAAGTCCAGCAATGAGGCTTGAAGGAACATATCCACCATCAGACGAACACCGCCCGCCTCAGAAAGGCGAGCACACTGATCCTCATCGAGATCCACTGCGAGCTTGGCGATGGCACCACCAATGCAGAAATCAAAGATGGACCATCGAGCTGTTGGATCAAGACGAGCACAATGCCATCCTACCGGGGCAATTGCAGATACACTGAGCTTCAGTGACTGCAGCAGGAGCATGACCCCACCAAGGCTCTTCACGAGCTCTCTTGACATCCCGTCTTCTGCATCCAAGCACGCCAACAGTGCCTTGGCACATTTCGTTCGTGTTTCCGAAGGGCCCTGGGGAACACTTCCACGCCATGCTTCAACAGAGCGAAGAAGCACATGAATGCCACCTGCCTCATATATGCGTCTTCGCAACTGAGGTTCTTCTGCCACTTTGAGAATCAGCTTAGCAACAGCGTGCGTCGCTAACTTCTGGCAATCTTCCCCATAAACACCGACTGATGTGCTTCCCCTTCCTCCCTCCTCGCCAGTACTTCCACTGCTGCCAAGTGCGAGCGTCATCAGAGCCTCCACACCGTAGGGAGCCTCAAAGATCTTGGGCCAGCAAGTGGAGTCGGAGACGATACGACGGAACGCCTCCGCCACCCGGCATTGAGATCTCGCATTCCCACAGGTAGCCCGAACAAGATGAGCGAGGGTGGTCACAGTACTTGGATGCATCTTATCGTAGTCAGTCGTACCTCTCATCAAGGCGAGGGAGAGCAATCCCGCAGCCGCTACCCTGCACTCCACGGAGACTCCATCAACAAGCATAACTGCCGCATGCGCAATGCGGAAGCCCATGGGCGTGACCCGTTGCTTCTCCCACGAAATGAACTCTTCACTAGATGTCAAGATGTCTACTACGTGCATGGCAGCAGTGAGGCAGACAAAGGACTCCTCCATTTCCAGCAGTTTGAGTAGTGCTGTAAGCCCCTCCGCCGCAAGAACTTCAGCTCTGCACTCAGGTTCCTTGCAAAGCTCTCTCACAACCGCCACGGCATCCGCAACTTCTCGGGATGCACGCAGCCGAATGATATCGACAAGAGCATGAACTGCATGGGCTTTGTGCAACAGTCTCCTGCTGTTCGAATTTGCATCCGCGATGCTTAAAAGGCCAGCAAGAACCCTTGCTCTCCAAAGCAAGAGCGATGGAGATTCAAATGCTTTGACAAGCATATTCACCAGGGGGGCCTCCCCGCCAACTGCGCATACTGTCTGAGGATCGACTTCCGCCATTTTGGCAAGAACGGCTCCCAAACGGAAGTGGAACTCAGACCACTCTCTCGCATCATCTGTATCATCTATCTCTGACCGGATGGAGTCGGCGTAGCTGCCGGTTAAAACAATGGAGGATCCGCTTGCCGTGCACTTCAAGGCTCCTGATGCGGCATGAGCAGGAGCAGAACGGGGTCGCAAGGATGCAAGCAACCTTGCTAAAGTCTGAAGACCACCTCCAGTGCTTATCAATTCTCTTGCAGCTTCGTCCTTCTCTACAGCCACAAGGAGGGCTCTCGCACTATCCATCATTCCAGAAGTTATTCTTGCCGGTGACCCATCAACAACACGCAGCAAGGCGTCAATCCCACCAGCATCGTAAACCGCTTTGCGAGACAGCTTCTCGCCTTTCACAATCATGGGCGCAAGTGCTTTGAATGCTCTCTCGCGACATGCCTCCATCTCTGTCTCACCTGCCAGAGCAACAATACACTTTAAGGCGTCATGGACCTCCACCAGCTTCACACAACATTCATTTTCCTGAACAAGGCATCTAAAGATTTCTGCTGCCTTGGTCCGGTCTTCCGATCCACACTCCACTGTCTGTACAAACTTTGCCAGGCTCAGTATTGCCTTCTCGTTGAGGCTGGCAAAGTCCTTCTTCCCTCTCTGAATCGCTAAAGCAAGGAGATTACCTGCACAAAGCCTGCAGTGGCCCAGGTACTTCTTCCTCGATTCATCGTATGCTAGTTTGCTGACGTCAGGCTTCACACCCTTCCCTTGCGAAAGAGAGTGACTGCCACCCTCACTTGAACGATCCAGCTCCACATCTGCCGCATCAATGGCAGTGAGCATACCCGCTCCATGTGCGATCTGGATGTTCGTAGCTTGCGCCCTCGGCGAGTTCACAAACTCCTTGCTTGAGACAACCGTGTCGACTATGCAAAGAGCATGACACCGGCAGTCAAGCGACACATTCCTGGACAGAATAACTCCAAGCAAACTTTCAATCCCCCTTGCATCTAGCACTCTCTGAATGCTACGAGCATCGTAGTCCTTTGTCAGCTCACTTAGCACTGACAAGGCATTCATCATCATGCTCTGGAAGGAGTTGGTTGCTTCCTGACCAACTTCCCGCACTCTGTCAATGATCTCCAACATCTTTTTGACGAGTCCATTCATTGATCCAAGGGCCTGTTGGCATTCCTCACTCGCCTTTGCAATGCTGTGAAGGCCATCCAAAGCCCTCACCTTCCACTCGTCTCTGATCGAAGTCTCATCCAGCATTCGCAAAAGCACAACTGCGCCATTTTGCCGACAGACCTCCACACTGAATACAGCATCCTTGGTTAAGCTGGCAAGGACACCCACCATGTGAACCTCCAAGTCCCCCCAAGTGGTCCCGTGCAGCGTGTCAATCACCAGACTGATACCCTGTTCACTGCACACTAGCCTACGCGCAGCGACGTCATTTTCGACTGCAACTAGGAGTGCTTGTGCGATATCCAAACGGACATCGTTCCTGATTCCATTTCTGCTCCCTACCCCTCTCAGCAAAGCCAGAAACACTCGAGCACTGTGCGCAGCACCATACATCGATTGCCTAACAGATGCATGGTCGCTTCCAAGCACACGTGTCAACACACACAAGGCCACCTCCTGGGTTTTGATGCCCACAAGCTCAGATTTCTCAGCTAACCTTGCCAGCAAATCTAGTGCACCATCAGTCTCCGTCAGCTGATCGCAATAGTGGGGATCTGACAAAAGCACCAGTAGGGTCTCCATCAGCTCAAGGACATCCTGTTGATTCGACTCATCCCTAATCAGCTCCAAAAGTGGTGGGACGATTCCCTTAAATCTACTTCGAGGATCGGCAACCACTGCAGTTTGCACCAATGAGCTGCTTTTCCTTGCCAAGCGGAACAACTTGACAGCAACCAGTTTGCTCTGCTTGGATATTGCAGATGACAGAACTGCAGCCAATTGTGCGGTTCCGAACGCTTGACTCATGTTTGCGAGTTTCGATCTGATTGACAGTGAATCACTTTGCAATGTTTGCATCATAGAGTTCAGTGCTACGAGGCCACTCTCACAGCACTCTATCATCATCTGTTGATCTTCACGTTCGTCCCGCTCTTCATCCACGTGTTTGACAAGTTCCCACAGAGCCTCGATCCCCCCATTCACGAGGAGTTGTGCCTGACATGATGGATCTAATGTGGCAGCACGTGCGAGCAGGCGTGCCGCAGCAGCACGGCCGGCAATTGAAAAACTTTCTTCTGTTTGATTCAACAGCTCTACTAGTATTTCACCGGCCGTTCCATCAATTCCCGCTGACAATTTGTATCCGAAATCACAGGACGCAGTGAGCAATGCGTCCAGGCCATTGAGCAATTCTAGACAAACCTCTATGCTCATTTGGCACTTGCCTTGAATGCGCGATCTTAGTAGCTGCATGAACTGGCCCATGGCATTAACCTTAGGATCCAGCAGCTCCTTACAGGTGCACGCACCAATGTTTCGTACCATAGCCATGACTGCCCGAACAGCACATTCAACCTCATCCTGTTTTCCTCCTTCCTTTCCCTTTGCTATAATGTCAAGCACCTGTGGAATGATATGAGACGCCGGGGGACAGAGATGTCCATTATCAGTGAGAGCAAGAGCACAGGAAGGATTTGAGAGTAACCGCCATAGCACGCGCAGCGATGCAAGGCAGACCTCTGGATGCTCCTCCAGACTCACTCTCGACAATACCACCTCCAAATTGTGAGGATCTGTGACCACCTCCCGCACCTCTCTCAAGCAGTCGTTCCCATGCTTTTCGGCAAAAGTCACAATCTTTTCCACTGTGCCAAGGACCCACGGGTAGTCCATAGGTCCAGAATCCTCTGCCAGCACAAGCAGTGCTGACAAGAGTGTGTGGAGAGCGATTGGATCCAATTCCTTAGAATCGTTCGTAAGGCCTCCAAGCAGCTGCAAACAATGGGCTGCCATGTTGTCCTTGCTAACAAATTTGCTGCTCCCAACATCCTGTGACATGACAAGTCTGCACAGCTGCTTTATGACACCGGTCGTGTGCAAGATAACCTTGCTGGCCTTAGTATCTCTAAGGAGATTGAATATCACTCTCATTGCAAGATCAAGACTGCTTCCATCTGCCATTAGGTATTGACCAGAGCCTAGGACCGGAAACAGAACAGCGTCAAATGCCTTCTCTGCAATGGTGCACCGTCTATCATGCAATGTGGCCATCTCTGCAAAGTCCTGCACCGTCAGATGGACGAGAAGTTGCAAGACGTCCTCAATCGGCATCCAACGGTTTTGCCTCACAAGATTCACACACGAGTCCACCACCCCCTGATCGAAGATCGTCTGTCTCCACTTGGGATTCTCTCCAAGCTTCACCAGAGGTTGCACTCCATTCTTCAACATCTCCAACACATTGCCATCAGAGCTTCGGAGGTATCTCATAGCCCTTGGCAGGACTTCTTCTTCCGCCTCCAAATGTCCAGTAGATCCACATATCATTGGTGAATCTGCACCATCAACAGTCTGCTGGTTGTTCACATTACGCGTGTGCACACACAGATTCAAACAAACATGCATTGTGGGTTCAAACACAACACACATGTCGTAACTTCAACACACATCACAATTATAATAGGATTTCTGGAGTTATCCATCTACAACTGTGCACAAGACATATCTCCAAACACACACTCCACGTGCACACACTCGACACACACACACACGGGGTTTTAAACGGATCTATTGTGCTCAAAGTTGCTTGCTCTGTTTGATTCTTCGATGTCTCAACTCAAGTGGTTTCGTTGTCTGCAATAGGACTAAAGCTGCTTCAATGTTGAATCTACTCATCTGGGTGTAATAGGGGCTGTTGTGGTGAAAATCCAAAACGCACACACACACACACACACACACACACACACACACAGAGAGAGAGAGAGAGAGAGAGAGA